TGCTAAATGGACATAGTAGTAAACTGACTCCAGTTATTATTGTTATACCCATAGATTAGTGTATTTCTCCATTCTTGCCCGAGAAGCCTCTTGTAGCAGCTGGCAATAAACATAGAGGCCTGAGGCAGGTCAACATGTAGAGAATAGGATACTGTGAACTGCTCAGCCCTAAATGGGACACCTATATTACATCCTCTCTTCCCAAGGCTCAAGGCACAAGAGAAGTTAGAAAGATTTTAAGAGCCAAAGGTGGTAAATGAATACAAGGAAAATTTGTTCTAAACATAATAGGACAGTTGCATTCATGAACACATAGTGGTTATGACAACATGCACAAGACCTATGCAAGCCCAAGCTAGACAAAACCCCAGCATGGAACTATGTAGGAATATAGCTTCAGCCCTACCTGAGGAAACTGGCAAGTGATAGCTGCTGGAAGAAGGAGGGTCAGTTTTCATCAAGGGTGTGATAGTATTTAGGTTGACCACACTTCGGGGAATGGACCTAAACCCAAGAGTATTTGGGGAATACGAATTAGACTGGATAGGCCCTAAAACATAAAATAAAGCAGGAAGTAAGGGGGAATAGGGAGGTGGGGTGGATCTGAGAAGGGATGGAGGAGGGGGGGTCTAAATAGGATTCAAAATACATTGTACAAATTCTCAAAGATCCAATAAAAATATTTTTTAAAAGCCCAGCATGGTGGCATATGTTTGAAATTCCAGTGCTGTGGAGATGGAGACAGGCAGATCTCTGGGTCTCACGGGCCGCCAGTATACCCAAATTAGTAAGTCCCAGGTCCTAGCCAAAGAGTTTGTCTCAAAAAAACAAAAAAGAAACAGCAGGGAAAACAACAACAAAACTCCCCCAAACAAGGTGGATAGTGACTGCGGAGTGGCACCCAAGGACCTCTGGTACCCCTACGTATGTGTACACGTGTACCTGAACATATAGAAACACATAGACATACACATACACACAGCCCAACAAAGAGGACTCAAGGGCAGGATGGGGGTACTCCTGCTCATAAACATATTATTTAATATGGAAGAAGGGAGAGAAGACCAGCTAGCAAGACTAGACCAGGGCTGGAAGAGGTATTATGATCAAATAATTTTGATGCTGGGCGTGGTGGTGCATGAGGCAGGTGGATCTCTGTGAGTTCAAGGCCAGCCTGGACTAACACAGTGAGTTCCAGAACAGCTGGGGCTACAGGGAGACCCTGTCTCAAATAGACCAAAAAATTTTTTATTTTTGAGACAGGGTCTTCTTATTCTGTAGCCAGACTGGCCTGGAACTCACTATGTAGCCTAGGTTGGGCCTCAACTTCACTGTAATCTTCCTGCCTCTCAAGTGCTGGAATTACAGGTATGTGCTACCACAGCCAGTTGGATCATTTAATGTAATACCTTCATTTCACAAATAATCTTTAAAATATAAATGACAACTACGGTATGTTTACTTGGTAAAACTGGTGATGGAGGGCAATAAATTTAAGGAAGTGATCCAGTGGGTAGTAATGCTTTGAATAAATGGAATCAGAGGGAGTGGCAGACTGGGTGTGGGTGCTGTGATTCTATAATGCCAGCACTCAGGAGGCTGAAGCAAGAGGCTTACAGTGAGTTCAAAGTCAGCCTGGGCTACTAGTGACTTCCAGGCCAGCCTGGGCTACAGAGTAAGACTTGGTCCCCAAAACAATGAAAAAAAGAAAGAAAAAAAAAGGGAAGGAGGGACAGAGTAAGAAAGGGAAGAAGGGAGGGAAGGAAGGAGGGAGAGAGGGAAGGAAAGAAGGAAGGAAGGAAGGAAGGAAGGAAAGGCAGTGTATACAAAAAGAATGAATGAAGTTTTTCCAGGAGGCAGCATGAGTCTAGTTAAAGGAAAGGGTTCAAACTGAAAAGATTTTTAAACCTTAGAGCTGGAATCTCTTTGTCTCTCTCTGTCTCTGTCTCTCTCACACACACAGGGTTTCACGTGGCACATGTTGTCCTTGAACTCCTGTTCGTGCCTCTGTCTCTTGAGTGCTGGGATTACAGATTGTGCCTCAATGCCTGGCTGTGGCAGAGATCTTAAGAGCTTTAGTCCAGTATGCCTGTTGTAGAGTCATGAAAGCAGATTGTGCAAGGTTCTGAATACCAACTTTGGAATTTGACCCTTAAGTGGACAGCATTTCTCAATATTTTCCGTTTACTGAGTGCTGGGCATTGAATTTAGGGCTTCCCACATATGAGGCAAGTGCTTTACCAATGAACTATACTCCCAGTCCTGACTGCTCTTCTCTAGGAGGCTTTTTAGACATTTCTTTCCTAATCGCTCCCTCAAGAAATTTTAATACAAAGTGACTCTTTGGAGCATATACAAGGCAAAGTACCACAAATCTAACAAGCTAATTAGTTACCATGACTATCAATAGTTAGTAACCAACTGCATTTAAAAAAAAAAATACAATTCAGTGGATATCACAACCCCAAAATGATTGAATTAATTTGCTTAGAATTAAAAAAGCCACAGCCATTTTGAGACCCTGTATACATCTCTCCAACAGAAATGCCTTTCTTCAGTGAATTTAAGGCTGTGCTGAGGAGTAAAAGGAAGAAGTAAAAAGCACCTCTACACCAGAGTAAAACTGTCTAAATTCTAAATTAAGTGGCAACACTATAAACAAATAACTTGGAGAATTATACTTAGAAAGTCCTATAGGACACTAAGCAGTATGGGTAAAACTTAGCTGCCAATGCATGGTGGAATTAAAACTCTTTTCTTGGGGGCTAGGGTTACGTCTCAGTGGTAGAGGACTTGCCTAGCATGTGTGAGGCTCTGGATTCCATTCCCAGCACTGAAAAAAAAATACCCAAACCATAAACCTTCTGTTCTGTGGGAAGATACAGTGTTTGGAGAAACACACACAATGACCAGGAAGGATTTTTACAAATGTGCAAATCTGATACAACATTTGAAAGTTTTGTGTAGTACAGGCTAGCATGGAACTCACTATGTAGCTCAGGCTGGTCTTTAACTTGTGGCAATCTCCCTGGATTAATGTAATCCAAAACATTAACAAGCTAAAGAAAAAATTTTTAAGAAACCACTTAGAACTCAACAAGAAAATAAATAGTCCAGTTAAAAACTGATTAAAAAAAAAAAAGCTGGGTGTGGTAACATTACACCTTTAATCCCAGCACTCTGGAGGCAGGCAGTTCTTTATGAGGTGGAGGCCAGCCTGGCCTACACAGCAAGTTCAGTCAGGACTACACAGGGAGACCCTGTTTTAAAAAAGGCAAAAAAATCTGAATGGACACTTCACTCAAGTATGTGCACAACTGGCAAATGATCACATGAAAAGATGCTTAATATCAATGTCATTAGGGAATCTGGGAATTAAAATAATAATGAAATGCACTCTCCCCATAGTAGAACAACCCCAACCCTCCAAATTGATAGTACCAGATACTGGTGAAGGGAAGCAACAAGAAAAACAGGTATTTATTTCTGTGGGAACACAAAATGGTAAATCACATTGGGTGACAGTATGCTAGTTTCTTATAGAATTAAACACCATATTACCCAGTAATCACACTTTGAAATATTAACCCAGTTGAACTGAAAACTAATGTCTTGCACAGAAAACTTACACAGAAATGTTCATGGCAGTTATATTTAGAGTCACCAAAAACTGGAACAACCAAGATTTCCACTATGGATGAAGAATAAACACACTATGATAAATTCATATCACAACAATAAAAAATAAACTATCAAGTCATGAAAAGACACAGAGGACGCTGACATGTGCATCTGTGAAAGAAGTGTCCTAATTTGCCTTCAGTCGCTGTGAAAAAAAGATGGACCAAAACCAACATGGGGAGGAAAGGGTTTATTTTATCTTACATCTCCCAGGTCACAGTTGATCTTTGAAGGAAGTCAAAGCAGGAACTCAGGGCAGGAACCTGGAGTACAGACCATGGAGGAATGCTGCTTACTGGCTCACTCCCCTGGGCCGTGCTCAGCCAGCTTTCTTATACTACACAGGACTACCTGCCCAGGGGTGGCACCACCCACAATGGGTTGAGCCCTCCCACATCATTCAAAAATCAAGAAAATGGCCAGGTGTGGTGGTGCACGCCTTTAATCCCAGCACTCGAAGCAGAGGCAGGCAGATCTCTGTGAGTTCAAGGCCAGCCTGGTCTACATAGTGAGTTCCAGGACAGCTGGGGCTACAGGGAGACCCTGTCTCAAAAAGACCAAAAAAAAAAAAAAAATGAAGAAAATGTCCCACAGTCATGCCCACAGGCCAATCCAATGGAGGAAATTCCTTGGTTGAGGTTCCCTCCACCCAGGTATGTCAAGTTGACAACTGAAGCCTTCCAGCACAGAAGTCAGTCAGAAGGTCCACACATTGTACAATCCCAACTATATGGCATTTTGGAAAAGGAGACAATAAAAAAACATCAGAAGTTGCCAGGGACACAGGGAGCGAGGGAGGGATGAACAGGTAAAAGAGGATGGATTTTTAGAGAGGTGACACTATTTTGTAGGAAACTGTAATAGAAACATATTATTATGCATTTGTCAAAGCTTACAAAAATAATGAATCTTTTTTTTTTCTTTTGAGACAGGGTCTCCCTGTAGCCCCAGCTGGCTAGAACTCTCTATGTAGACCAGGCTGGTCTGCCTCTGCCTCCCAAGTGCTGAAATTAAAGATGTACCACCATGCCCAGGGCAGAATGAAACTTTAATGTAAACCATGCAATATATTAATGATAATGGGGATGGGGTGCGAAAGGATGAGATATAGGATATATGGAACTCTATGTATTGCTTTAATTTTCTGTAAATCTAGGCCTATACTAAAGACTAAATTATTCTATTAATTGTTAAAAAAATAAAAGCAAAAGCACTAAAGTAACTTTTTAGGTTCTAACTATAAAAGTTCTATGTATATCTTCATATAAGTCAATTCAAACAAATTTAATATATGGAAAATATATTTTTATTACCTTATACTTTGCTCTCTTTTCAACCTTGATATAGTCTTAGCTACAACGCATGTTTTAGTTTGTAGACAACAGAACATCTCATTAAAAATCATCCACCAATATTTCAACTTGCCCTTGTACACTGCAGAGACTGAATTAAATGCTTTCTTAGAAATGCCATGCCAACTCTTCGGTTGTTTTTCTTTCTAAAATGCATGTTTCCAAAGTTTTGGCCTTACTGATCTTACTCTATGGAGTTATCCATGATGCTCTCAGATGTGAACAAATCTTTTCTCCCCCATCTTCAAAGGCAAGTAATAGTGCTTTCACCTCTAGTCTTGAAGTTTATGGGCAAGATGTAGCTCCATAGGCATGAACAGAAACGCAAATCTGACAAGTAACATTAACATCAGGGCTAAAAGTTCCAGGACTACAGACCACTGTAAAGGGAAACATATGCAGATGATTATGATTTAGAGATATGGTATGTCAATACACAAATTTGCCTTCAAGATTCTACCATTTCTGTCCTCAGGCAATTAAGTTATTATGTGAAGATTACTTCAATATTTGTAATGTGATGATCATCAAAACAAGAGTTAGAATACTATATTTTTCTTTGATTCAGCATTTGCAGGATCTTCTGCAATGCCTTATTTATAAGCTCCTGGTTCTTAGCTCTGTTACCTTGGTGGGGCCATTCTGCTTGACTTCACAGAATAGTGGTTTATGTCAGAAGACCATAAAAATCCTTTGTAAAGCCAGGAGTAGTGGCACACGCCTGTAGCCCCAGCACTTGGGAGGCAGAGGCAGATGGATCTCTGAGTTCAAGGCCAGCCTGGTCTACATAGTGAGTTCCAGGACAGCTGGGACTACAGGGAGACCCTGTCTCAAAAAGACACACACACAAAAAAATCCTTTGTAATACAAGAGAGCACATTACAAAGAATATACATTAAGATGGTCAGATTTAGGAGCTGGAGAGATGGCTCACCAGTTAAGAGCACTGGCTGCTCTTCGAGATCACCAGGGTTGTATTACAGGTGGCTAACAACCATCTGTAACTCCAATTCCAGGGGATTTGATGCCCTCTTCTGATCTCCACGGGCACTGTACAACATGGGTGCATTCACATGCACTCATACACATAAAATAAAAATAGTGAATAAAATAAACATTTTTATGAGTGTGAGTGTATTGCCTGCATGTGGGTAAGTGCACCTGTGTCATGCAATACCCAGAGGTCAGAAGAGGGTGTCAGATCCCTTGGAACTAGAGTTATGGATCATTGTTAGCCACCATGTAGGTGCTGGGATTCGAACCCAGGTCCTCTGCAAGAGCTGTCAGTGCTTTTAACCATGGAGTCATCTCTCTAGTCCCCAAAAAATACTTTTTAAAAAAGATGATTAGCTTTAGAAATTTGGGCTTTGAATTTTTTAAAATTCTGTGTAAGAATCAATGGAAAGATTCAATTTAATAATCCTAAATGAATTATTCATCTTTTCTTTGGAATACATAGACATTAGACATTAATATTTTATAATTACCACAACAGGTAGCACAATTGCTGTGTAGACCTTCATTTTTCCCAAAGCCTGGTCGACAGTTATCTACACGTATTACTTGAAAACTGTGGTCCACAAAATGCATAGCTGGTACAGTTTTATTAAAGTGATGGTACAAAATGAATGCTTGTCTCCAAAAAAATTCTTCTATCCGATCTCTTGCCTAAGATTTGAAAATACCAGAGAAAATTATAATTACTAAAGATGAACCAAATTTCTCATGTATCACAATAAAATGTAATATAAACATTTCTTGCTTCATGCACCAGATGAATTTCTGAAAACTTTTATGTTAAAGCTAAAAATCAGTCTGGTTTTGACTTTATTAACTACTATTAAGTGATATGTAAAGCTGTTTTTAAAAAGTAGTTATAAAAACTTGCTTTGGGGGCTGGAGAGATGGTTGTGTGGTTAAGAGGATATACTGCTCTTCTGGAAGGAAGACCAATGTTCATTTCCCAGCAACAAACATCAGGGGGATCACAACTGCCTGTAACTCCAGCTCCAGGGGATCCAACATCTCTTCTGGCCTCTGCAGGCACCCCTACACATGTTGCATACAGGACACACAGACACATACATAATCTTTTTTAAAACCTTGTTTTATAGGGTGGGAGAATGGTGAAGTTGGTCAAGCACTTGCCTTGCCTCTATTTGAAATCCCAGAGTAGGGGAGGTAGACTGAAAGATCCCTGGGGCTTGGGGCCAGCTGGTCTAGCCTAATTGGCGAGCTCCAGGCTAGTAAGACATCCTGTCTCAGAGGGGTTGGGCAGCATTCCTGAGCTTGACATCCGAAGTTGACCTCCAGCCTCCATAAGCACTCACCCACATACATGCACCTGTGCACAAACACCTGCACATACCCATATACATCCATACATAAAAACTTGTTTTGATTTATTTATAACGTGTAGTCTATATGTAGAGAAACTAGTTATTTCTAATTCTATATGATCCTCAAGAAAAAAGAACCAAATAAAGTAGAAATCAAGGCTTTTCTCTAATCAGCATTACAAACTAATTATGTGAATTTTATTGCTGGAGTAGAATATAATAGTAATTAATATTAACTAAGTACTTCTTGTAAGCTATAAACAACATTAAGGTTATGGACTCAGCAACAAGACCAGGAGTGAAGGTTTCTGGTTATGTCCTTAGCCTCTGACGATGGCAGTGGGGAGAATTGTTATGATTTGTATAGATACAATTTTGGAAGAACAACTGGTTTAACCTAGGAGGACATGGTATGAAGCTTTTCTTTAGGCTGTTGTTTAATCATCTGGAAAACAAAGACCAGGGGATCTATCTTTCTGTTATAAATAAAATATATAATATTAACCTGGAGAACTATATGATATTCCAGATGTACAACCACAAAATAATACATACTGAAATAGTCAACAATCTCACAATCTCTGTTTAAAACACTGAAACTGGGGCCAGCAGGATGGCTAAGTAGGTAAAGGCGCCAAGCTTGATGACCTGAATTTAACCCATGGGATCCATGGAGGAGAGAACCAACTCAAGCAGGTTGTCAAGGAATCTGTGTTGTAAATATTTTTCCATAATAAAAATATTTGTAAGGACTAAATTTACATTCTTTAAAAGAAACTTAATTTTTGTTTTTGTTCTTTTACTTTATTGATTGATTGATTGATTGTTTGATTGATTGATTGAGTGTGGGTGTGCACATGCCATGGAGTATGTGTGTATGGAGGTTAGAGGACAACCTGAGAAATTTTTGAAGAAACCTTTTTTGAGCTAAGGTCTCATGTAGCCCAGGCTGGCCTTGAACTTGCTATGTAGTTGAGATGACCTTGAGCTCCAGATCCTCCTGCCTCCACCTCCCAAGTGCTGTGATGATAGGAACTAAAGAAAAAAAATTAATTAATAAAATAAAATATTTTTAAAACCCTTTTAAAAGCTTTACTGATTACTCAAGTACTTTCTCCTTACAATAACGTTCTCACCTTGAGGATATTGTGATTGGTAGTATCTTCACAGTCAGCAGACTCATGGCACACACTTTTCCACCCCGGTGCAAAAGGATTGACTGGAGAGGAAAGCATAATGCCGTCTACATTCCAAAAGGCCCAGACATTTCAATAAAGCCCCAGATACTTTAGTTAGTATGAAAGCATGCATGCATTTAATATGCTTATATAATCCTAATGGCAAAGTTAGGCACACAACTTGAATAATTTTATCCACTATGACTTTACTCCATCTGGAGGCTAATGGAAGCAACTACAAGGCTCAAAAATAAAAATAAATTGGGTTTGGTTACTCCCTTTTATTAAGTGTTCAAACAAACAAAAACAAGACAAAGCCCTTTAAAATTCTGCAAGAAATTATAAGTGAAATTTTAGCTAAAATTAAAGGTTAATTATTTAGCTATAGTTAACTAAGTATAGTTAAAGGTTATGCTAACAAAAATATATTGACTTTTTTTTTTTTAATCTTTTTGAGACAGGGTCTCCCTCTAGCCCCAGCTGGCCTGGAACTCAGTGTGTAGACTGGACTGGCCTTGAATTCACAGGGATCCACCTGCTTCTGCCTCCTGAGTGCTGGGATTAAAGGCATGTGCCAGCACCCCCGGTTATATTGACTTCTAAATGACAAACTATATTATATTTGAAGGTAAAGTATTAGTGTGTTAACTTTGAAAACCACAACCAGGCAACAATATATATTAGAGCTTAACCAACCTATTATTTTCTATTATTAATTGTTAATTCTATTATTTCTCACATTCACATGGTAATTAATTTTGTATTATATCATGGTTTTAGACTACAGTAATAAAACTAATGTTTTAGAAATTGTTTTTACCTTGAAAGGCTATGAAGAGCTCATATATGAAGTCATGGTCTGGAATCTTAACAGAATGGCACTTATAAGATGGTTCTATGACATGGCATGACAAATCGGAGATTAAATTATCCAAGATTTTCTTCAGCACTCTAAAGAGCAGGCCATTATATCTTCCTGCACAGGATTTTGTGGTAAAACGCACAGCCATGTGGTAAGAATAATCAGGCTCCCGATAAGCTTTGAAGAGAAGATGAGAATAGAAACAACTGTGCCTAGCATGACCTTTCTCTACTAAATGATATTAAAAAAACGTATTATTAAACCAAATCAGCCTTGCAAATCAGCATAGAAATTGTATCCATTTAATGTTCCATCAGTCTGTCCACAAAATGTATACAAGTGATAATTTTAAAGAAAAAATGGCATTTTCATTTGATGTATCATCTACTTAGTGGAAATGACTTCTGTGAGTCAGCAATTATTGGTAAGTTCACAGTATCAAGAACATGAGATTGTTTGGGCAGAGGGTCTTAGTCTGAAGAAAATGTTACATGAACATAAATGAACTGAGAAAGGATCCTTCATTTTCTTTTACAGAATTAAGTATCATTTGTGTTTCTTTGGGGGGGGGTAAGGAAATTTAGATGGCACAGATTTTCACACTGTAGCCCAGGCTAGACTAGAATTTATTATATAGTCAGGTTGGCCTCAAACTTGTGGCAATCCTCCTGTCTCAGCCTCCCAGTGGGATTAAACATGTGAATCATCATGCCTAGCTTAAGTATCAGGATTTTTGTTGGTGGTGGTGGTGGTAGTGGTGGTGATAGTGGGGTGTGTGTGTGTGTGTGTGTGTGTGTGTGTGTGTGTGTGTGTAGGCACTCTTCTGTGAAGGCCAGAAGTCTGGGTCCTCTGGTCCTCCAATGGTCTCAACTTTTTTTTTTCTTTTCTCTTTTTTAAATTTTTTTTTCTCATTTTATGCGTGTGTTTTGCCTGCATGTGTAAGTGCACCCATGTTGTGCAGTGCCCTACAGAGGCCAGAAGAGGGTGCCAGACCCCCTGGAACTAGAGTTACAGACGGTTGTTAGCTGCCATGTGGGTGCGGAGAACTAAACCCGGGTACTTTTGTAAAAAAGGTGTTTTTAACCACTGAGCATCTCTCCAGCCCCTCAACTTTATTTTTTTTTTAATTTTATTTATTATTATACAAAAATTTCAGTATTCGAAAAGATCTCCTAAAAAGCCTGGGGAATTCTATGCAAATATCTTTAATATTATTCTCACTAGTTAGAGGCTGTTGAAATTTAATAGTGTTAATGAGAGCATGGAAGAGGTGAATCTAAAAGCTGGTTCTTCCAGGTAGGGGAGAGTTCTAGAAAAGATTTTATTTTATTTATTTATTTGGTCTTTTTTGAGACAGGGTATCCCTGTCCTGGAACTCACTATGTAGACCAGGCTGACCTTGAATTCACAGAGATCCACCTGCCTCTGCCTCCCGAGTGCTGGGATTAAAGGCATGCATCACCACACCCGGCTCCAACTTTATTTTTTAAGATAGGGTTTTTCTCATTGGTTGACTTGGAGCTCACCAACTGTCTTAACTGGCCCTCCTGTCAACACTGGGATTACAGGCATACACTCTAGGATGGGCTTTCTATATAAGTGTTGGAGATCCAAACTCAGGCCCTTTTGCTTACACAGCAAAGCCCTTTACCCACTGAGCCACGTCCCCAGCCCTGCTTGTTTATTACGAGACAGGGTCTCTCTTGATATAGCCCAAGTTGGCTGATCCTCCAGCTTCCACATCCCACCTGTTAATGGTATGAGCCACCACACTCGCTTAAATATCAATTTTTAAATTAACTGGCAAAATTGTGAAAAGGTAGTTTATGCTTACTCAGTGGGAAGTCGGGAGTTGAAAGTAGTTATTTAAGACAAACCTTTAAGAGTTTGCTTCATCAAACATATCACAAAATACTTTGTAAGCCATAATGACTACCTATAATAGGCTCTTTTTCACTAAATGAAGAAACCTTATACTTAATCCTGATTCAAACTAAATATGTAAATTAAAACGCCTGTGTTGGCAAGATGACTCAACAGGTAAAAGTGCTTGCTGTGTAAGCCTGACAGTGTGAGTTCAATCCGTGGAACACACAGTGAACAGAATCCACTCTATTTGTTGTTGTTGTCTTTTTTGTTTTGTTTTTGAGACAGCGTCTCCCTGTAGCTCCAGCTGACCTAGGACTCACTATGACCAGGTTGGCCTCAAACTCACAGAGATCCGCCTGCCTCTGAATCCCAAGTGCTGGGATTAAAAGTGTGTGCCACTGTGCCCAGCCAGAATCCACTCTTTAAAGTTGTCCTCTGACCTCCACACTCATGCCATGGCATACATGCACCTGCACACACATGTGCACACACACACAAAATAAATTAAAAATTTAAAGTGCTTATTACCAAAGATCATAAAGTCATATCTCTTCTTTATTGTATTTTCCTCTTGGGTTTCTGCTTTGATAATCTTATAGGAAAGAGTACATGTGTAAAGTCCAGACAAACCCTCCAGAAAATCTTTCACTATCAGTTTTCCTGTGTTAGTGATATTTATTCGGCTATTTCCTAAACAGAAATAGTAAATTACTTGGTTATTTAACAGATAATTTGAACATTATTTAGCAAAGATGGGGTTACGAACAACACAAAAATTAAAATTAATGAACTATTTCAACAAGAATCCAACAAAATTTTTAAAGTTTATTTTTACTTTACCTATCAAATGCCTGCATGTATGTACGTGCACCTGTGCATGTAATGTACACAGAGGTCAGAAAAGGGTGTTGGATCTGCTGGAACTGGGTCATAGACAGTTGTTAGCATCATGTGGGTGGTGGAAAACAAACCTGAGTCCTCTGAAAGCACAGCCAGTACTCTTAACCACTAAGCCACCTCTCTAGTCCCCCCCCCTCAACAAAAATCTTAATTGTCATACGGAAAAACTACATGAGCTAGGTACACTTTTGAATTTTTTTTTTAAATTCTTGGCATCTAGTTTTGACTAATTTATGCCAGTAAGTAAATGAGATACAATTTTTTCATGGAAGAAACGAATAATGCCAATATCCCATGGTGTTCTTCTAACATGAAAAAATACATACTGAACACTTCATATCACTGATGCCACAAGGATAAACTTTAGGCTTTATGATAAGTTTTGAAGAGTTCTGGGGAGTACAAAAGTTGCTGCTTCTGAAGCACATAGATAGAGGAAGAGTGCTTACTTAGCAAATGGGCACTCTGGAGTCAATCCCCAGCACTGGGGGGAAAAAACTAAAACAACAAACTACCGCTTTGGTTTTATTTATTTATTTATTTATTTATTTATTTATTTATTTATTTATTTCATACAAGATCTTTCTATGTAACCCCGGCTGGCCTCAAATTTGTGATCCTCTTGCTTCAACCTCCTGAGTGACAGGCTTAGAGGCCTGTGCTGTAGTCTGGATCTGCTTTAGTTTTTGCATAGGAAGAATGTAAGGCATGGATCAAGATAAAATACAATTTGTCTAAGTGCTGAGCAAGTTTAAACTGTAGTTAAGATTAAATCTGTTCAATAATGACAGTACTTTTCTAAAACAATGTTTGTATCATTTTAAAAGATATTAAAATAATTTACCTGTTAATGTATTTTCATTAGGCCCAATCCATAAGAAGGTAGGGTCCACTGTTTCTTTGCTAGCATGATTCATATCCATACAAACAAGGATAGGGCTATTCTGATGTAATTCTACATATATTTTCACTGTGGCAAAATAAAATTCTGCATAAATACATTATACAGCAAAATTAGGAAATACACTTCTATTTTGTCCCAATGATAGTAATTTTCTTTCTGGATTTCAGTATTTTAAAAATGATCATAACATTTAGGATCCAGGCCTTCATTTATGACAATTTTTTTGTTTCTCATGGTAAACTTTTGAACTGTAGATTATCAAGGATACTTTTCTTCATTCCACGATTCAGTCTATAAAGTATTATGTAAGCTCATTTTAATGTACAAATTCATGTCACTAATAATTGAAGGGATAATGGAATCAGAGTTCAGAGAACTTGAGCTTGACTGCAAAACTATTTTAGATACTTTAAAGCCTAATCATTGCCAGGCTCTGGACCTGTAAACACTGTCTTACAATTTGATGGTGCAGTAGTGGTGTTGGGAAGGGGGTTCAAAAATGGAGGGGTTCCACACCTTCTATATGCCACACTTCCACTGTGAAGTGGCTCAAAGTTAGTTCACTTTTTTTCCTCAGGAGTGTAGGAAAGCTAAACCACCGTGAAGAATATTTGAACTGAGGCTTGCAGGTACTGAATGAGTACATCTAGTTAACACGAAAGCGCTAAGAGCCTTCCTATCAGGCGGACTTCCAGCCCAACTGCTGGGCTTCACACTTTACAAAGCAGAAGAATCTACAAGTGGCCATCGGAGCACAAGACCTGCACTGAATCCTGGGGCTTTTAAGGCCAACGATGCTTTGAGGATGAAATGATGTGAACTTCCGGAAAAGCAGACCAGAGTAGACGCCCCATTACATAATCCCTCCCTTTCTCCTGGGAGGGAGGAACCTTAGCAAGTGCATGGCATCCCCAGTTCCTCCGCAAGGACCTTGGCGTGGGAAAAGCCTTGATTACCTGGGTGTCCTACTGTGCCATAAACAAAGCCTTTCCTACTGAACAAGGAAGTACGTTGCCGTCCAACTGCGGAGGAAAGAAATCACGGACACAATAGTTGAAGAGGAGCCAAGGTTCAGAGAGAGCGGGACTACGAGGAGAAGGAGGAAGTGGAGGAGGAGAGGAAGGGGAGGAGGGGGAGAAAGCGGGAGAGAGAGGAAGGGAAGGAGGGCAGGCTGAGGGGAGGAACCTGTGGGCCAGGCGCGACAAGCCCCACCTCCTGCGAGATATGAGAGCACCGCGGAGAGTAGGACCCACGCTCGCATGACGGCTCGGGCCCTAGGGGCGACAGCTGGGCTCCCTCCTGCCTCAGGCCGGGCCCAACGCCTCCCCATTGCCTCTCTACTGAGCGAAGCAAACCGCCGAGGGTGTCTCCGCTACCAGTCGGTGCCTACCACTAGGGGAGGCCGCGCCGGAGAGTGCTCGCCTGTTCCCGCGTGGCACGAAGGGCGGGGCGGGGCGAGCGCGGAGAGCCCCGCCCCCTGGCGCACGCGCAGTTGCCGTACCACACTCGCCGGGTCTTTCGGGCCTCGTGTCAGGTGCCATTTTCCCGCGTTCTAGTCGGCCTGGTTTTGTGGAGAGCATAGGAGAAAAGAACGTGAAGGAAACGCGCTCCAGAGTTCCGGGGACTTCTTTAGACTAAGAGCTGAAAAAACAAGGATGAGAACACAGTGGATCCCGAGGACGGTGACAGGCAGGGCAGCCGAGGATGCTGTCACAGGAGCATTTGAAGATGGGAGAAGCTTGTGAGAACTTCCTAAAAGCGAGGACCCCGCTGGGAATTCGTAGGTCTTCCCTGTCATGCAGATTGAAACTCTGGGCACCCCAGTTCTTAACCAACTGCATAATTCTGGCACACAAAACCAAGACCTTGAGGAACCTTATCTACACCAAGAAGGTGATCCTGGGTCTTCCCACATAGAAGAATGTTGAACCATCATTTTTCAGCTTAGTGTTGTGAACATTTCCTACGCGGATTAACTTTGCTCTAGAAAAGGGACCCCTTTGAAAAGCAAGAGCACATGATCTGCTTTTCTTTTGTGCATGTGAATTAAGTCAGTAGCAGAGAGCTCCAAAAGAATCTTTCCAGATTCTTCTCCAACACCCCCATGCTGGGGACCCAAGCCACGGTCTTCACTGAGCTAAATCTCCAGCCCCATAGTGGTTTCATTGTGGCTACTAGTTAGGTGACCTGAAAGGCCCTATGTGTTGTTTATTTCTTGGCAGTGGGACACCACCCTCAGTAGTGGTTTTGAGTAGGATGGTAGGTAGAGAGCCCAAGGTTCAGATAGGGTGCAGAATGGTTATTTGGGGTGAGATCAAGGGTTTTCAGTTTTATTTCCTTTGAGCCGAGTCAGTATCTGGACTGTCTCAGATGGTCCAGGAGCAACCTTTGTCAGTAATTTCATTTTTAGTCACTGTTAATTTTACCTACATAGCAGAAGCATGAAGTGTGATTCAGTGAGTCAGATCCACCCATTATCAGTTACTATGTCTAGAGTCATGGTTTAGTCTCAACTGTTCCCTTCAGGTGATGATAGTGAAGACTAATTTAGGCATTCTCTTAGGTTCCCTGTAAGTTTGTCATTCCAGGGTTAGTCAAAGTATTTTACCAATCTATAGTGTTTTGTTAAGTTCCCAGTTACTGCAACTGACTATTGAAAACCTTGTGTGATACACAAACTTTGACTCCTATGAGAAGAGTCTTAAAAATAGAGTATTGGGGCTGGAGAGATGGCTGAGCAGTAAAGAATGCTTTCTGCTCTTCCAGAGGACTGAAGTTTGATTCCCTGTTCCCATGTCCAGTGACAGGCAACTACCTGTAACTCCAGCTTCAGGGGATCTGATGCCCTCTTTTGAACACTGCACGTATCTGCACTAGTACACAGACACACACACACACACATATAATTAAAAAGAGAGTAGTGGGGTCTGGAGAGATGATGGTTCGCCAGTTAAGAGCACTGGCTGCTCTTGCAGAGGACCCAGGTTCAATTCCCAGCACCCACATGGCAGTTAGAAACTGTCCATAACTCCATTTCCAGGGGATCTGACACCCTCTTTTGGCCCCTGTGGGCATTGCACAACATGGGTGCCCTTACATATATGCAGATAAAACATACACATAGGGGCTGGAGAGATGGTTCAGCAGTTAAGAGCACTGACTGCTCTTGCAGAGGACCCGGGTTCGATTCCTAGTACCCACATGGCAGCTACGAACTGTCCTTAACTCCAGTTCCAGGGGAATCCAAAGCCCTTTTCTGACCTCTGCAGCATTGCATGACATGGGTGCACTCACTTAACATGCAGGCAATACACTCATACACATAAAATAAAAATAAATAAAATATTTTTAAAAACACACATAAATAAATCTTTAAAAGAAAATAGAGTAGTGGCTTGTGTGTTCGAAGAATCTGCTTTTTCTTTTTTGAGAAAGGTTTCGCTATGTAGCCCTGGCAAGCCTGGAACTCGATATGTAGATTAGGTTGGCCTCGAACTCACAGAGATCCACAAGCCTCTGCCTCTTGAGTGCTGGGATTATTAAAGGTGTGTGCCACCAGACCCAGTCACTATCTACTCTTTTAAAAGTAAACCTTTTATTTTAGAAGTTTTAGATTCAAAGAAAAATCACAAAAATAGTGCAAAATTCTCATGATTCCCACCCATTTCCTATTATTACATCTTACATTATTTTACATTTCTCATGATTAACCAATAGTGATACAACACTATTAAAGTTCATGTTTCTTCATAGTTCCTTAGTTTTCACCTTAGTTTATCTGCACTAGTCACACCCAGGATTTGTCATGTCCCCTTTGATTCTTTTGGGCTATTGACAGTTTCTCAGACTTTTTTGTTGATCTTGATAGTTCATGACAGTTTTGATCACCCTAACCTAGCCTTAAATGATCCCATATTCTGTAGAAAGTCTTTATTTTGGAATTTTCTTGATGTTTTTCTCATTATTAGGTAGGATTATGGGTTTTGGAGAGGAGGGCCATCTGAGTACATCGTATCCCTTGTACACACTAACATCATGCTTCATTGACATTGATATTAACTTTAATCAACTGGTTGAAGTAATATTTGTCACTTTTCTCCACGATACAGTGACTCCCCCTCCCCTTTCATACTGTCCTGTTTGGAAGGAAGTTACTGTGTGTAACCTATATTTAAAGATTGGGGATTTATGCTCCACCTCCTTAAGGGTGGAGTAGCTACATAAATCATTGTACCCATCTTTTTATCTACCCCTTTAGGCGTCTGTAGAGTCTGAAATAATATTAAGTATTTACAGCATAGTAACACTGTCCGCTGTTACATAAAAAGAACCCTGAACAAAATAATATTTTCTTTCTAACTTTTTAATAACCAATTAACTGCTAATCCTCATCATCCCTGTGAAAGTTTACAGTTCCTCTTCTGCTACTTGTGATGTGCTATTTTTGCTTTTAGAAACTAACAAACAACAAATTTCCCCTTTCAGTACTAAAATTAAACCTTAATGTTTAGAGTATTTCTCTGAACTTGATATTATCCTGCAGAACTCTAGGCCATTTTTCTGTCGAGATGCTACTATGGTTCTGTGATCTTACAGGCAGTGTAAACCCACTTACACATATATACACATATAGAGTGCTTGTACCATGATACTATTTAAAGTGAACTTAAATTCATAAAATTTCCATGTGTATGCTTTAGCTCTTAAGTGCAGGTTTCTTCTGATATGGATGACTTGATATACAAGTTCTCAATTTTAAATATCAAATATATTTGTATAATGAACAGTACGCAATGGAATCATTCCTTCAACACATTGGGCAGCATTAGAAGTACTATCTGGGGCTGGAGAGATGGCTTAGCGGTTAAGAGCACTGGCTGATCTTACAGAGGACCTGGGTTTGATTCCCAGCACCCACGTGATGGCTAATGACTGTCTGTAACTCCAGTTCCAGGGTGTCTGTGGTGTCTGTGGGCATTGTGTGACATGGGTGCACTTACATACATGCAGGCAAAACACTCATATGTATAAGATAAAAATAAATAAAAATTTTAAAAGTAGTCAGCTGAATAATATCTCTTAAGACCTCAGTGTGAAGAAAGGTTCTGCTTTGAAAAACTACTTATTGTCATGTCCCCTTTATTCTCCCTACAAGCAAATGTTTTTCCTCTTTAGAGTGAGGAGGATGTTGGGAAAAGATGTTGACTGGTACATCTCTGGGAATCTTCCCCTTCCCCTTCATTTACTCCTGTTACCCCCCCCCCCCAGCTATACTCTACTTACTTTTCTGACACACCATATTATGTGTTTTTGTAAGGTGTCCTATTTAGAAAGAAAAAAAAAAGAGAGAGTAGTAGTGAATACAGACAAGTAGAGTTGTATTTTTAGAGTAGCCTCAACTCAGCCAGTTCCCAGAAAGGCAAACAAAATGAGAGAGGGAGAGAAGAGAGAGAGAGAGAGAGAGAGAGAGAGAGAGAGAGAGAGAGAGACAGAGAGACAGACAGAGAGACAGACAGAGACAGAGAGACAGACAGAGACAGAGACTGTTCCTTCAAGTTAAAAAATGGGAACGATGTAAGTGCCAAAATACTTTTGAACTATCTTTCCAAAACTGTGGACCAAGGACTTTTTTAGTTTGTTTTCTAAGAAAATGTCTCACACTGCAGCCTGGGCTGTCCTGGAATTCATGGCAAGCCTCCTGCCTCAGCCTCTCAAGTGCTGGGATTACAGGTGTGGGCCGCCCCAGCTGGACCAAGAACTTTTATCATATGAAGTGGAAAAACTGAAGGGGGGGGAATTCATAACACAGTGAAGTGAATTCTCATTGGCAGTTTTCATGACTATCATCCTGGAGTCTCGACAAAAAGTGCCAGACCTTTCCATGGAAGGCAAAGCTCTTTGAAGAAAGCCATGCCTAGTCTAGAGCTCCTTCCTCCATCCTGTCTCTGCAGTAGACCTGAGACTCACTGATGCGCCCTTTCCCTGCGATCCGGCTTCCTCAGGCTTGACATTCAGAAGTGGGCTGAGGGTGCGGAACCTGTGGCGCTCGGCAGCCGCAGCTTTAAAGCCGCCGCCAGCCAGCGCCGCAGCAGCCTCGCACGGGGAGCTCGCCGGCTCGGCCGCAGTCTGCGCTGTCGCGATCCCGGGGACTCCCCAGGCCGGGAATCTCCCGCCAGCGGCGCTCGTCCCGGCGACGGCAGCAGCACGTGGAGCGGCCGGGTAGCCTGGGCGACATGGAAGGTGAGTCCGAGGAGCTAGGAGAGGCTCCGCCGGCGCACGCGGCAGCAGAACTTCCTTCTGAATCTCGGTTTTGCTTCTATTTATTTCTTTTGTCAAAAGTAAATAAGAGGTAGACGCGTGTCGGCTCTCAGACGACCCCCCTCCCCCAACTTTGAAAAGTGATAAGTTCAGTTTTATTTCTTAGGGGTTTTGAGGCAACTGCGTGTACGTGGGTCAGCCTTAGCTGGAGAGGAAGAGTGTTTATGGGGCGTCCCGAGTTTGGTAGCAAGCCTGGCAGAGAAGGGTACTTTTTGGTCCATGGCTTCGGGGGTCTTTCGGAATTAGGCT